TGTTTTCTGCAGAGAAGTTAGAGAAGTGAGTCACAGGTTTTATTATTGTTATCTTCTGAGATGTGTGCTTCTCTAGAGTTGCTGGATTGGCACCCATTCATCTTACAGAAGCCGTCTCTTACCAGGCCCAGAAGGGGCCCTCGCCTGAGGCCTGTGGGACCTGGGTCCAGAGGGCACTCGAGGAGCACAGCTTCAGCACCTGGTGCCAGGCACAGCAAAGCACTTGGGGGCGGGGCAGGCAGGAGGGTGATGGCTGTAACACATTCAGGTATGGTGTTGACTTCAGTTTCCTTCCATATTTTTCTGATGCCTCTGAAAACATTTTCATTCCATTCTTTTCAGGTACTATTTTATTAGTACTGATTATTAATGCATATCAGATCTCTCTTGAGACTAAGGCTGACATAAGCAGCCTCCTCTTCTGGGCATGATAGAAATAAGCTCTCAAGTTACATGTTGGGCTTTAATTAGTAGCAATGGGAGACAGGAACAGTATTTTGAAAATGCTAAGCACTAGTTTAGTCATCAGTGTACCTGGTGTCAAAATTGCATTTTGGCTGGTAGGTATTCTAACTTGCTGTGAGAGGGCTGACTCTCAGTCCCAGCTCTCAGACTGACCAATCAACTTTTGATTTTTATTTAGGGTAGGGATGAGTGAATATTGCATCTCAGGGATTGCTAACCTAGAAGGAGAAATAACTTTTAACAGAATTTAAAATATGTACTTTATTCTGCAAGATAATTGTAGTAAATATAACAGTGTGTCAGCTGTTAGGCACTGCCTTACATGCATGATTTTGATTTTATTTATTCCTTTTTTTACTTCATTTTAGCCTATAATTTTATTTAATACTCAGTTTTGTAGAGGATTAAAGATTAAATTTAAAAATGTCATAGTCTGTTAAGGGAGGGGCAGGGAGGAAAGAGACTGGGTGGGAGGCAGGCCCAGAGTGTGAGGAGGAGTTAGTCCCCCTTTAGTGCTGGGAGTGGTCTCATCTGGTCACCTGGCCCTGCTGTGTGAGTGGGTAGTGAAGGATGTGCTGAGTACCCTGCTTTTGGACTCTGGGTTGTGTTGTCATAGCCTCTGGCCCTGTCTCCTTCCAGGTTTCTACTTTGCATGGATTTGGCTTTTTTGCATTTGTTGTAGCCCAGTTCTTTTCTGGGGTGAGAAGTTATGATGAGAACATTTCCCTAGGCCCATTTAGAATCTAATAAGGCTGGGGCCAAATCAGGTAGGCTGAGGGGCTTTGTTTCCTGATTTAGAAGTGTCAGGAAATAGAATGATGGAGTCTACATAGTTTTATACTTCGTTGCATTTCAGAGGAGAACATAAACTTAAAATTCATGTGATTATGAATTCAGAACGATGGAGAAAGATTAGGAGTTTAAGGCTGGGTGCAGTGGCTCATGGCCTGTAATCCTAGCACTCTGGCAAGCCGAGGAGGGTGGATTGCCCTGAGCTCACAGGTTCGAGACCAACCTGAGCAAGAACAAGACCCCATCTCTAAAAATAGCTGGGTGTTATGGGGAAAAAAAAAAAAGATTAGGAGTCTATAACCTTTTTTTTTTTTTTTTTTGAGATAGAGTCTCACTATGTCACCCTCAGTAGAGTGCTGTGGCATCATAGCACCCTTAAACTCTTGGGCTTAAGTCATTCTCTTGCCTAAGCCTCCCAAATAGCTGGGACTACAGGCACCCACCACAACACTTGGCTGTTTTTTTGTTGTAGTTGTTGTTGTTTGGCAGGCCCAGGCCAGGTTCGAACCCACCAGCCCGGGTGTATGTCGCTGGCGCCCTAGCCACTGAGCTACAGGCGCCGAACCAGAAGTCTGTAATCTTATACTTTTCTGCTTCTCACGTCCACTGCAGCTATTGCTGACCAGTGAGTACAATGTCTTTTCCTCATTGTCCTGTTTTTTGGTTTCCTCTCTTCAGGCCTGGCTACCCTGTCCTGAATTAGCCCACGTCCACCTTAGAGGGCAAGAGTAGTGGTGTCACTGCTCCTGAGCCCAGCTCTTGGTGGTTGCTGAGTAAGATATCACTAAACAGGAGCCTCATTAGAACCCATTGTTACATAGCACCTAAGGCTCTTTTCCATGGAGACGGTGTGAGCCGGGCCCTGCACAGGTCATAAGCTGAGCCCAGTGGTGCCCTCGAAGAGCCCCGTAACTCGTAGGTGGAGGGCCCAGAGAATGAGTGGCTCTGTGTGTTTGATAGAGAGAGTCTGCATTTAGGTGCTGTAGTAGGGGTTAGAGCAGACAAGAAGGGAGGTTAAGGGTATTGAACAGGTATTAAATACTAAATGGAATAGTTTTATTTGCAAAAAGACATCAATGTGTAAATTAATAGATTGTCAAGTAATAATGAATTGTACTTGTTGAATGTATCTTCTGGGAAGAGTCAGGGAAAAGAACTGAGGAATTTTGAAAATCTTTTTTAAATGCACGTGTCTTGTGATATTTATTGAAATTACTAGGTATAATTGAATTGTTACATATAAACAGTGATCTTTACTTGTATGTGTACTTAGCGTTTTTTGGTAGAGGGGACAGGGTCTCATTTATTACCAGGCTAGAGAGGAGTGGTGTCATTATAGCTCACAGCAATCTCAAACTCCTGGGCTCAAGTGATCCTCTTGCTTCAGCCTCCCAATTAGCTGGGACTATACATGGCCTGCCACAATGCTTGGCTAATATTCTATTTTTTTATAGAAATGAGATCTTGCTCTTGCTCATACTGGTCTCAAAGTCCTGAGCTCAGGGGATCCTTCTACTTTGGCCTCCAGAGTGTTAGGATTACAGGCATGGGCCACCTTGCCTGGCCTAGTTTCCAAAAGACTCTTTGGGCTGTTTCAAAGAAAGTGGTATGAATTAATGAACTGTTAGCTTAATTTATAGAGTTTAGTCATTTATACATTTTTTTTTTTTTTTTTTTTTTTTTTTTTTACCCAGGATGTTCTTTATTTTTAGTTTAGGTTTTTTTTTTTTTTTGAGACAGAGTCTCATTATGTTGCCCTCAGTAGAGTGCTGTGGTGTCATAGCTCACCGCAACCTCAAACTCTTGGGCTTAAGTGATTCTCTTTCCTCAGCCTCCTGCGTAGCTGGGACTATAGGCACCCACCACAATGCCTAGCTATTTTTTTTGTTGTTGTAGTTATCATTGTTGTTTTTAGCTGGCCAAGTTTGAACCCGTCACCCTTGGTGTATGTGGCTGGTGCCCTGTTGACTGAGTTATGGGTGTCAAACCCTTTATTTTTAATTTTATCTTCCTTACATTTTTCTTTTCTTTTCTTTTCTTTTTTTGTACGGAGAGAGTCTCACTCTATCAACCTAGGTAAAGTGCTATGGCATCACAGCTCACAGCAACTTCCAACTCCTGGGCTTAGGCGATTCTCTTGCCTCAGCCTCTCAAGTAGCTGGGACTACAGGCGCCCACCACGACACCTGGCTATTTTTTTGTTGTTGTTGCAGTTTGGTTGGGGTCAGGTTTGAACCCGCCACCCTTGGTATTAGGTGCCAGCACCCTACCCACTGAGCCACAGGCACTGCCCTTCCTTACATTTTTCAACAGCAGACGATGATTAACATTACTACTATGAGGACTTTTTCTAAAATTTGGAGAGTGTGTGTGAATATTTTTAGTCAGAGGAAAGTTTGAATCATTTCAAAGAAGTCTAGGTAACAATCTGAGAAACAGTATGCTCAGTACTTTATAATTAAAAATAAGTTATGTTTTCTTGTGGGGGAAAAAAGTGTAGACAACATGTTGATTTTGTCATTTGTTTTGCAGTTTGTTTTCTGACTCTGGTACTGGTATTACTTGAGTTTTCTGGGAGAACGAAGTGCTGCTTTTTGACTGAGGAACAAGAATTAGTTCTGTTCTAGTTAACAGCAATAAAAATTTATTTCAGAAGACTGAGGACCTTTTGACACTTTTAAGAATTTAAAAATGGGGCTGGGCACAGTGACTCACACTTGTAATCTCAGCACTCTGGGAGACCAAGGCAGGTGGATCACCTGAGCTCATGAGTTGGAGACCAGCCTGAGCCAGAGTGAGACCCCGTCTCTAAAACTAGCTGAGCGTTGTGGCAGGTGCCTGTAGTTCCAGCTACTCGGCAGGCTGAGGCAAGAGAATGGCTTGAGCCCTTGAGTCTTAGGTTGCTGTGGGGTATGACACCATGGCACTCTACTGGGGGCAACAGAGTGAGACTTTGTCTCAAAAAAAAAAAAAATTTTAAAAATGCATTTTGAGGCTCAGCGCCTGTAGCACAGTGGTTGATCCTGTCCCGGGCCAACTAAACAACAATGTACAAGTGCAACAAAAAATAGCTGGGTTTTGTGGCAGGCACCTGTAGTCCCAGCTACTTGAGAGGCTGAGGCAAGAGAATCGCTTAAGCCTGGGAGTTTGAGGTTGTGTGAGCTGTGATGCCACTTTACCGAGGGGGACATAAGACTCTGTTTCAAAACAGAACAAAACAACAAAATGCATTTTGAAAAGATTCAGAGTTACTTTCAATATTTGAGAGTACCCCAGTTTTCTTTCCCCTTGTTGTGTTTAATGGATATGTTATATTAGAGGCTGGAAGTAAGAGAAGTGTCCCTCGACTTGGAACTATGAAGAACTTGTCTCCTATATCTAAAAAAATTCAGAAATGAGGGCCATGCTCAGTGGCTTACACCTATATTCCCCACACATGGGAGGCAGAGGTGGGTGGATTGCCTGAGCTTATGAGTTCAAGACCAGCCTGAGCAAGACTGAGACCCCATCTCTGAAAAAATAGCTGGGTGTTGTGGCAGGCACCTGTAGTCCCAGCTACTAGGGAGGCTAAGGCAAGAGAATCCCTTGAACCCAAGAGTTTGAGGTTGCTGTGAGCTAAGACGCCGTAGCACTCTACCAAGGGTGACCAAGGGAGACTGTCTCAAAAAAAAAAAGAAAAATTCTAAATGCTACTGTTGGCTTTTGTGTTTAGTTTTGATTGACATTTAGTTGTATGTAGGTAACATGTGTTGACTCAAGTGGGAGGGACTTCTGTGCATTTTCTAGCCCTGTTAAATACTGTGCATTGCCTTTTTCTCCACATCTACAGTATGACCTGAGGTCGTGATCATGGACTTTTCTCGGCTCCACATGTACACCCCTCCGCAGTGTGTGCCGGAGAACTCTGGGTACACGTACGCACTCAGGTGAGTGTGCACTCACACGGTGGACTGTTGTTGCTGAGCCAGTCTGAAAGTAAAAGAATCTGTAAACTGTGTTATATTATGGCTTTACAAAACTACTGAAGTGACGTGCACATTGATTGAGGTTGCTGAAAGCTGTGCATTTCTGAATCTGTGCTGGTGACTTGGTGCTTAGTCATCACCAGAAATGTGCTATTTTAGACCCCACCCAAGTGGTTGTGATCTTGAGAATAAATCTTTGTGGTTATGGCTGGTGATCTGTATTAATGGCTTGGATTTTAAAGTTAACAGAAATAACCAACTTTTTGGAAGGAGGCATCATGGAATGATGTTGGCCAAGCCCAAGGATTCAAGAGGTACCCTTTGTCAGATGCTCAGCTTTCTGTTTTTATCCATCTTCTGATACTGCAAAGCTTGAAGTTTGAGTCTCAAAAGTTGCTGACCTGCCTTTTACATTTCTAGTTTATGATGAAAAAAGAATGGTTGAAATGAAACTTAAATATTAGAGAATTATAGGTTTGCACCCAGGGAAGACGGGCACAAACTGGATGGGTTAGGATTTGATTGTGTCCAGCAGATGTTTATGTCAGGAAAATGCTTGTGTGGTTTTTTTCATGGCTGATCTTCTGAAGCATGAGAATATAATTAAAACCTTAAGAAAAATAGAAGATATTTTAAGAAAAATGCTTCTTAATAGTATTAATGAAATCTCACATTTTTATTCACTTTAGGTCATACTTCCATAGCAACACACAGTTTTTGTAAAGAGACCTATAGTGGTTTAGAGCAAAGTAGCTGGCCTACTCAGGTAAAATTATTCTTTCCTCTGTGTTGTGATTTGGTATAAAAACAGTGATTTGGTAATTTATTTTTAGCTTTTCTGAACTATTTTAAATGCAGTTTTTTTTTCTTTTGCAATTTTTGGCCAGGGCCTGGTTTGAACCTGCCACCTGCGGTATATGGGGCTGGCACCCTACTCCTTTGAGCCACCTCCTTTGAGGTGTTGGGGCCTGCCCAGGACACAGGTGAAATAGGCAGGGGAAGCTCAGTGGTGGCCTGAACCGTGCAAGGGCTCTGATGGACAGGTGCAGGCTAGGCTGGTGTTCTCACTCCTGGCTTGGGCAGCTGGAGGACCAGAGGAGGACAGGGTGGGGTAAACCTGGCCAGTCTGCAGAGGGAGATTGAGCTGAGGTCTAGAGCCACTCATCAGCACGTGGCCACTGAACCCTGCGAGTGAGCAAGGTGGCCACTGTGCTCAGAGCCAGAGAGCTGACTGAGGAGACCCCATGGTGGTATGAGTAGGGGCACACACCCACTAGGAGGGGAGCTGGAGGCGGTGGTGCTTCAGGGTTGGACTAGACATTGGCTCCTGGGCCTGGGGCTGGCCTCATATAGTGTGTGGTCCGCCTGGCCTGCCTTCCTCTTTAGGTTCCTGAAGTCTCAACCTCTTCCCCATAGCCTGTGGGTGGGGTGGATGTTTCTAGACCATGTTCCTTCTTCCGCAGGGACTCATTCCCCGTGTTCCTGGTGACCACTTGGTTTCTAGCACCATGCCATCATAATTCTTAGAATTTGTTTTTTTTGAGGCAGAGTCTCACTCTTGTCCCAGGCTATAGTGCCATGGCCTCAGCCTAGCTCACAGCAACCTCTAACTCCTGGGTTCAAGCTTTCCTCTTGCCTCAGCCTCTCAAGTAGCTGGGACTACAGGTACCTGCCATAACACCCAGCTAATATTTCTATTTTTGGTAAAGACCCGGGATCTTGCTTTTGCTCAGGGTAGTCTCAACTCCTGAGCTCAAGAGATCCTAATGCCTTAGCCTCCCAGAATACTAGGGTTATAGGCCTGAGCCACCACACCTGGCCCAATTCTTAGAAATTTTGATAAACACAAAAAGGATCTTCTAACATCCTAGCCTTCATGGCTAGAGGGTGACTCCTTCCCTTTCATATTGTCTGCCCCGGTGAGTTCAGGGGTGCCGGAGATGTGAGCACTCAACCCTTCCAACCTTTATTGGAAGTGTTGCCAGTAGGAAAGAGAAGCATAGAAGTGACCATGTGGTGTCAGCCTGAAAACTGGAGAAGAGAAGGATTCGGAAGGAAGTGGATCTTCATCACTTAGGGCGAGATGCTGCTGGAAGGTCAAGGGAGGAGGGGGCAGGCTCAGCTGCACATCAGCTGCATATCAGCTGCATGGAAGTCAGGGGGCCCACAGGTGCAGCTTGGGGCCCTCAAAGGTGTAAAGGCTGGAATACGGTGGCTCAAGGGAAGACTGCATTTTGACCAGCTTGGCTGGTGAGGGATCTGGATGAGGCTTTGAGCGAAAGTTGTCTGCTTTTTTTTTTTTTTTTACATTGGGGAAAGCTGAGGGCATGTCTAGATGCTGGTGGTAGGAGCCAGCAGAGAGAAACTGGAGGTAGGGGAGAGAGGAGATAAGTGACAGAAATGGAGAGGTCTCTGAGAGTAGGAAAGATTTCATCCAAAGCACACAGGTTTGCCTTTGGGGTTGCCTCTTCCATTGGAGCAGGAAGGGAAGTGCGGCAGTTAGGGCTCCCGAGAGAAACAGAACCAGTAGAACACATACATGTCTATGTGTGTGGAGGGTGTGGGTATGGGTGGAGAGAGACTCACCATGAGGAATTGGCTCGTGTAGTCAGAGGCTATTGAGTCCATGATCTGTAGGGTGAATTGTTAAGCTGGAGGATCCACCTGCCTGGTGGATGCTCTCGAGGTCACAACGGTACAGAATTGTGCAGAGATCATTTGGGTAGCTCCTGATCCCTATGAGGATAGAGCCAGGCTGCTGGGGAATCCTGTGTGTTAAAGCTCTAGTAGCAGTGAAAGATCTGAAATGATGTGTGAGCAGGGCCAGAGGTTTAGTGCTTTAGAGACAGTGTAATGTTCAGATAAGCAGTTTTCTGAACATGGGAGTTGGACTCAACTCCTGATGGGTGACTTGCTTTACCTGACACCCTTCCAGGTGATCAGGAGCCACTCATAGGACAGCACAGCTAGGTCAGCATTGGCATAGTATAATCTGCATGCTTTTTGTTGGGCAGACTGCCATATTCCCATGATTTATTGCTACCTGGTCTATTATTTTTTGTTGTTTTTTTGAGAGAGTCTTACTTTGTCACCATTGATAGAGTGCTGTGGCAGTATAGCTCACAGCCACCTCAAACTCTTGGGCTCAAGCAATCCTCCTGCCTCATTCTCCCAAGTAGTTGGGACTACAGATGCCTACCACAATGCCCAGGTATTTTTAGAGTCAGGGTCTTGCTCTTGCTCAGGCTGGTCTCGAACTCCTGAGCTCAAGCAATCTGCCTACCTCAGCCTCCCAGAGTGCTAGGATTATAGGCATGAGCCACTGTACCCGGCCATATTTTTCAATCTTTTAATAAAATACATGTAAATAACAAAAAATTCTAGAAAAAATAATGTGTAACTAGTGAGAGAAATAAACTAAAATCTCAAGGCCTTTGTCCGTCTCCTCCTTTTATAGCCTTAAAATGGGGTGTAATCTTTTCTAATCCTGGATTGGACACCTCAACTTTAAATTGTGTGACCCCTCCAAACATTATGGGAAAATTAATAAAGTGCTTTCATACTATATCTTGATGGGGCTGTGTTACCTCTTAGGACAAGGCAGGTCAGTGCCATATCTTCCTGTTTGCACTGTACATTGGAGCCCTTTTATGGGGGCTCTGGGCACACTCGTCCCTGGGAACCATGTTGCAGATGGTGACTGGGTGTATCCTGGACCCAGGAGTGCTGGTGGCTTGTAATATTCCTGAACTGCAGATGTGATGGTCTCATGGGCAGTGGAGTCAGAAAAGGCTGTGAGCTCACCTGATGCAGTGGACAAGTAGCTGAGACTCAGGACATGCCTGAGTCAGGCATATGCTTTCTACAATATGAGAGCTAGAAATTTTTTGGACTTGGAGCCCTGACCTTACTGGTCCCTCTCCCCTCTTCTTCCCTCTCCCCTTTCTACTTCCCCCCTCCACTCATCTCTCCCCTTTGTAAATACTGCATCACCTTGATCAGAAGCTTGAAGGGAAAGTGCCCTATGACCATTGTGACCAGCTTGAGAAGACCCTTTCAGATCTATTCCATGCTTGTATGTGTCTAGAGAACATGCTTTTTTTTTATTATTTTTTTGAGACAGAGCCTCAAGCTGTCACCCTGGGTAGAGTGCTATGGCCTCACAGCTCACAGCAACCTCCAACTCTTAGGCTAAAGCGATTCTCCTGCCTTCACCTCTCAAGTAGCTGGGACTACAGGCGCCTGCCACAATGCCCAGCTATTTTTTTGGTTGCAGCCGATGTTGTTTGGTGGGCCGAGCTGGATTCGAACCTGCCTGCTCAGGTGTATGTGGCTGGCCTCTTAGCCACTTGAGCCACAGATGCCAAGCCAGAACATGCTTTTAATTAGTTTTACAGTTTGTTTGAGCATGAATAGGATGATACTAGAGTACTTTCTCTTTCATTCAGGTTACCTTGGAGGTCTTTGTGTGACAGTGACATGTACATATAGGTCTTCTCTTTTTCTTGGGGTCTCACAGCATCATGTCACATAGATGAACCCTTTTTTACCTGACCGTTCCCGTAGGCATAGGCCTTCCCCAGGTTCTTGCTGCTTTGGACAGCAAGACATCCTTCTACATGGTTTCCTTCCCAGTGCTCATTCGAGGCCTGTGCTGGGAAGCCAGGGTCTCAACTGGACCTGAAACTTTGGATCTAATGGACGGTCAGTGTGATGAGTTGAGGCAGTGATTATGTTGGTCCATACCTACGTGGCAAATTCTGATTTGAAATGATATGATTTTCTTAAATCACAATTGTGTAAAATATTCTGCTAGAAGAAAACTAATCATGCTTTAGATTACATTGAAATTATGTCTAGTTTAGTACCCATGCTAAGGATTTAACACATGCTTGTGCATTTTCTCTCCTGTCCCCACCCAGCCTGAGTTAAGAAGAGCCTCTCATAAACTGTGTGCAACATACTAAATGCACATGAGGACTTGGAGCAGTTTGTATTTTTTTTTTTTTTGCAGTTTTTGGCCGGAGCTGGGTTTGAACCCACCACCTCCGGCATATGGCGCCCTACTTCTTTGAGCCACAGGCACCGCCTGGAGCAGTTTGTATTAACTTATGCTTGGTTTGATTGAACTTATTTTCTGGTGTCTTAGATCTAGTAAGTTTATGATGAATATGATTCTGAAAATATTTGTATAATGTAAAATGTAATGCAAAATGCCTTTAAGCCCATTTACTTTACTCGGATGCTGCTGGCTACTGTTGATTTCCAGTTCCTTAGGCAGGGCTGCCCTGAGCGAGAGCTATTTGTTCACTACCTCATGGCAGCACCTCCCAGGTGTCCCACTGGCATGTCTGCCTCACTGTGGACATACTTGGGTCTCTTCACAGCTTTCTGCAGAGGACCCAAGGCTTCTGCAGCCAGGTGACCAAACACCTGTTCTCTTTAGCTATCCTGGCACCTGTCACTGTGCCTACCAACTGCCTCACGTCAGCCAAGCCCTCTACTCTTATCTCTGAACTACTCTCAGCCCATGCCCCTCCTTTTTTTTTTTTTTTTGACAGAGCCGTAAGCTATCCTCCTGGGTAGAGTGCTGTGGCATCACAGCTCATAGCAACCTCCAACTCCTGGGCTCAAGCAAGTCGCCTGCCTCAGCCTCCCAAGTTACTGGGACCACAGGTGCCCACCACAATACCCGGCTATTTTTTGGTTGTAGCCGTCATTGTTTTGGCGGACCCAGGCTGGATTTGAACCCACCACCTTAGGTGTATGTGGCTGGCGCCTTAGCCACTTGAGCCACAGGCGCTGAGCCTCATGCCCCTCCTTAAATCCATCATACCCTCTTGTCTTATGGTGTTTTGTGTTACTTTGGTTATAGCCTCCTGTGTGGTGGGGGGTTTCCTCCTTGGTAGGTTGACCATGCAGTTTAGTCTGGAGTGAAAGGGGTGACATGAGGCAGCCGGGCCACCTAGACTGGGTGACTTGGGACGGGTGACACCCACCCACAAGGGATAGGATAGGTGCTCAGTATGTGGTTTTGGTTTTTTTTTGTTTGTTTGTTTCTTTGTTTAGACAGAGTATTACTGTGTTGCCCTTGGTAGAGTGCTGTGGTGTCACAGCTCACAGCAGCCTCAAACTCTTGGGCTTAAACGATTCTCTTGCCTCTGACTCTCAAGTAGCTGGGACTATAGGTGCCCACCACAATGCCCGGCTATTTTTTTGTTGCAGTTGTCATTGCTGTTTAGCCAGACTCCAGGCCACGTTCCAACCCGCCAGCCTTGGTGTATGTGGCTGATGCTGTACTGTGCTATGGGCCACCAAGCCTGTTTTTTTTTGATTTGAAAAACTTATTAGTCACACAAAAGAGTTCATCTTTTTATTTAACTATGTTAGTTTAATAATTACAAGGAAGGTATTGGAAGTGGTTTTTCTTTGTCACAGACTTAAAGTTATTTTTTGTTCGTCTTTGGTGTTGACATCCCTGTGCTGCTCATAGATGTTCCTTCAGCAACTTGCTGTTACATTGGATTAAATTTCATGTTATTAACTGCTTTATCAGGCATGGTGTCTACATAACCCCCATATGTGGGGATTGTTAGAGAGTTAGCTTGCCCTGAAGCAGTTCTTCCTGGGGTAGTTTTTAGACTTCTATCCTAGATGGAATCTGCTACCGTGCAAGTGCACGTAAAGTCATGGTGTTTGGAGCAGGTGGCTCCAAACCTTATTGTGACTTTATGGTAGCCTTGTCACACAGTAATAATCATTCTTTAAAATTCACAATAGATTACACTTTTTATTTTATTTTATTTTTTGAGACAGAGCCTCAAGCTGTCCCCCTGGGTAGAGTGCTGTGGTATCGCAGCTCACAGCAACCTCCAACTCCTAGGCTCAAGCAATTCTCCTGCCTCAGCCTCCCTAGTAGCTGGGATTACAGGTGCCCGCCACAACGCCCGTTGGTTGCAGCCGTCATTGTTGTTTGGTGGGCCCAGGCAGGATTTGAACCCGCCAGCTCAGGTGTATGTGGCTGGTGCCTTAGCCACTTGAGCCACAGGCGCCAAGCCAGATTACACATTTTGATTATTATTTGTTCATTTTGTTTCAAAACTGGGCCTCTTGGCATTATTTATCTCTTACAAACCTTTTCCTTCTAGTTCAAGTTATTCTTCTGATGCTCTGGATTTTGAGACTGAGCACAAATTGGACCCTGTGTTTGATTCTCCAAGGATGTCCCGCCGTAGTTTGCGCCTGGTCACAACGGCATACCCGCCGGGGGACAGCCAAGCCGTGGGAACTCACTCCTGTATCAGCAGCACTGGCTCCCTTAAGGATGGAGTGGCCAGGTGAGTGACGTTTAGCATTGTGTTTATGTGATTTCTAGTACCTGTTAAAACTTTACTGCTCACTCTCCTGAATGTAAGGATGTGTGTGCATTTGTTCAGGTAGACATGCACAGATCCACCATATAAAGTCATAGCCTTGCCATTGATGAAGACTGAAATTTATTCTGGAGTATATGTGGGTGTCTGGGAATTGGTGTTCTCCAGTTAAAGTTTCAAGCTCTCTTGCAAGGTACACCGTATACAGCACATTGTACTCACAGTTTAGAGGCTTCATTATCTTTGTGATGGGACTGAGCTTCCACTATCTTATGAAGTGTTGAAAGGGGAAGGGAGGAATCCCAGAAGGTTGTCACAGGGTTTTTTGGTTAGTCTCTGTATTACTCAAGATTTAAGTATGTATATTAGAATTGGTGTGTTAACTGACATATACACATGTAAAGTCCAGATGTTTACCTGTATTTGTGATGTTGGGTGAACTTGATCTCTGAGCTCTGTTGCCCATCACCACTTGTTCACCAGGAAGGAGCATAGCATAGTCTATAAGATCTTTATTCATTGAGATGGTACATGACCATGACAGCTTCAGTTTATGCTGCTCTTGTGGACATGTGAACATGTGTGGTCTGAGTGTTACTTCTCTCAAGGATAGGATGGTGGCTGTTGTGGGGTTGGGGGTGGGATTGCTCTGTGCAGGGCTTTGTTGCATTGCCTCCCAGTGGGTTTCCACAGCACCACAAACACCTGGGCAGTTTGTTAACTAGAACAGCAGGTGCCCAGGCCTCCCCTGAGAGAGTCAGCAAGTTCATGGTAACAAACAAGAACCGGTTGATTGCAGTGCCTAGCTCCATATCAGAACACCCAGTTACTAAGGTAACACAGAAGCTTTGGTTTTCTGTTGCCTGGTGATATTGAGACCAGGTGTTAGTACTCTGTACTCACATGATCTGTTTATTACACTGTTGTGTTATTGTTCCCACCACTGATTCCCTTGGAGGGGAAAGGTCTCTTGCCATTGGCCTATGTGCTTCCACTACCTAATTGTGGTGAATGTTCATAAGACATTTATTTTTGAGGGATTTACCTTTATCATTTGTGTTAATTAAGAATGCAAAAATCATTTTCTTTTATTATTTTTGCATTATTTTGAGGCAGAGTCTCATATGTTGCCCTCGGTAGAGTGCTATGGCATCACAGCTCACAGCAACCTCAAACTCTTGGGCTTAAGTCATTCTCTTGCCTCAGCCTCCCTAGTAGCTGGAACTACAGGCACCCACCACAACGCCTGGCTATTTTTTGTTGCAGTTGCCATTGTTGTTCTAGCTGGCCTGGGCTGAGTTCGAACCTGCCAGCCTTGGAGCATGTGGCTGGTGCCATAACCACTGCTATAGGCGCCGAGCCCAGAAATCATTTTAGATTACTGCCAATTCTTGCTGTACTTAACATAGTTCTATTTTTACCAGTGACTGAGAAATATTATAGTATGAGATATTTACATGTATATAGTTATTTTTTTTGCATAGAGGAGGGGCTGAATTTATAAACCATATAGTTTTTTATTATTAGGCTTTATTTTTTAATTTTTTTTAGAGACAGGGTCTTGGTCTGTCATCTAGGTTGGAGTGCAGTGGCACAATCATAGCTCATCGTAATCTTGTTCCTGGGTTCAGTGATCCTCTTGCCTCAGTTTCCCAAGTAGCAAGAACTACAGGGACCCTGTTTGTAGAAACAGGGTCTTATTGTGTTGCCCAGGCTAGTCTTAAACTCTTGGCCTGAAGTGATCCTTCTGCCTTGGCCTCCCAAAGTGCTGGGATTATAAGGGTGAACCAGCATGCCTGTTCCATTTTTATTTTTAGGTAAAACTATTTTTGGGTCATGGGGCCCAAAATAATCTGAAGATTATTTTGTGTTTACTATTTTAGAGGAAGTACTTGGACTCCAGCTTTAAAAAAAAAAAATTCCTTTTTTTTTTTTTTTTGAGAGTCTCTGTTGCCCTGGATATAGTGCTGAGGCAGCATAGCACATAGTAACCTCAAATTCCTGGGCTCAAGTGATCCTCTTGCCTTAGCCTCCCAAGTAGCTGCTACTGTAGGTACCTGCCACTACACCTGGCTAGTTTTTTCTACTTTTTTTTTTTTTTTTTTTTTTGAGACAGAGTCTCACCATGTTGCCCTCAGTAGAGTGCTGTGGTTTAACAGCTCACAGCAACCTCAAACTCTTGGGCTTAAGTGATTCTCTTGCCTCAGCCTCCCTAGTAGCTGGGACTACAGGCGCCCGCCACAACCCAGCTATTTTTTTGTTGCACTTATTATTGTTGTTTAGCTGGCCTGGGCTGGTTTTGAACCTGTCAACCTTGGTGTAAGTGACTGGCGCCGTAACCACTGTGTTACAGGCGCCAAGCCTTTTTTGTATTGTTTTAGTAGAGATGGGGTCTCACTCTTGCTTAGGCTGGTCTTGAACTGTGCTCAAGCAGTTCATCCTCCTCGGCCTTCCAGAGTGCTATGTGAGCCACCATGCCTGGCCAAAAATTCCTTTCTTAGATTAATAGATGATTTATTACAACAGAAAAGGCAAAAGAAAATGGTTTCCCTTAAAATGCTGTGTTTAGTCTTCAAAGAGTTTGTGATGATAAAATATAATCATTTTGTATTCATTAGAAAAAGTTTATAAACTTCTGTTTTCTTTTTTTAGAACAGCAAAACAACGCAGAAGTGCAACCAAAATGGCTTTTAGTATCAACCATGTGTCCAGGCAGGTCACATCTTCAGGTGCCAGCCAGGGTGGCTCTAATAATCTGCAGCCTCCTGTGCTGGATGAGTCTTTGATATGTGAGCAGACCAAAGTGGACCACTTTTGGGGTGAGTTACTCGGAAATGCAGGTTGCCTTGGGTGCAGCAGGGTTGGGGAGAAGGAGGTTGTGGCCAGGTTGTTTGGTGGGCTCCTGGTTGTGAGGAGCAGCCCTGGGATTAGAGCTCACTGAGTGCTAGTCCCACCTGCTCCTTGCCTGGTAATGCTAGTGTGTCATTATTTGCATGATTTGAAAGATTAAGCAACCGAGTAGTAATCTTGATAGTTCTCTTTTTCCAAATGCATTGCTTTTGTAGGGTATTTAAACAAAGGCTGTGTAAAAATTTTACCAATGTTTTTCCAGCAAGCTCTATGCAACAAGGCAGCCTTTAGGAAGTATTCCAGGGTGGAGGAATTGGTGCTAAGACATGATGTGTCTGAACACTGACTGGCTGTAGGTAGAGGCAATGGGATATACATCATCACTATTGAAATGTGTGATGTCATCATACTGTGCACTGGTGAGGAACACTCTAATAAGGAATGCACAGCTGCTTATTTGTGTTTGGTTTATGTTCTGGTTGGACCTTTTGAGACAATCAGAAGATCCAGATTAGTTCCGCAAATTTGGTGCACTAATTTTAGGAAGCGCTGGTATTTGTTTTTGGTGTTTTTTTAAATGTTTATTTTTATTTATTTATTTTTATTAAGTCATATACGCATAGATCATGAATACATTTATGCATATGTGGGGTACAATGTGTTGTTTTGTTTTATACAATTTGACATGCTTACATCAAACTAATTAATACAGCTTTCACCTCATTTACTTGATTATTGTGTTAAGACATTTATGTTCTTGATAGATTTGACTTGTTCAGTTTTGTTGTGTTTTGCTCAGCTGGTGAGAGTGAGATGCACATGCTGCTGATTGTAGGTTTCTGCCTCTCTTAATGAAGTGCTGAGAGAGGGGGCTTCTCTTTTTCCCACCCCAGTATGCTTCCACTGACTTCTTTAAGTTAGATTGTGTGTGTCTTGGTATGTGCGTGTATTCAAAAGATAGTATCTGCATATATTGAGGGAAATTTCTATAAACTCTAGGCATCTTAGGAAATCTTGACCAGTGCCTTAATGCTGATTTATTAACCATTGTAATCAACCTTTACATTTTTATTTTTGGTGCATTTTATTCTGTTTTGATAAGTTGAGCTTAACAGCAAAAATACATGTGTGGTTTTTTTTTTAGGTCTTGACGATGATGGTGATCTTAAAGGTAATTATTTTTAGTCCTTATTTTCCCCCAAACTTTTCAAAATAGAAGTTTCGAACGTTAAGTGTCTACAGATTGTGATAAAGAAGTTCTGTCTACTTTCTGCAAACTTTAGGTGGAAATAAAGCTGCCATTCAGGGAAATGGTGATATGGCAGCAGGAGCCACAGCATACAATGGCTACACCTGCAGCGACTGTACTATGCTCTCCCAGCGCAGAGACGCGCTCACAGCACACTCTGCAGCCCAGGGGCTGATGACAAGAATTTACTCCAGGGAGAGGGATCCAAAACGTAAGTCTCATTCTTTTTAAAAGCTAAGAAGATATTTGCTGTCCAAATATTTCCTTTTCTTTTTATAAATGTGATTTTATAAGGCTTAGTGTCTGCACTATAATAAGTGCAATTCTTACTTATAATAATCCTTTATAAGTTTGAGAAATTAGTTTTGTCCTGCTCATCTTTCAACTCATGTTTTATATGCCCAGTGTTTTTGTACCTAGATGTAGTTGTAATTCTATCAATTTAGACTAGGTAAGCAAAAGAAAAGTTCTACTTAAACTCCGAAACTGTGTGGCTGCTTTCAGATGGCATTCCTTCATTTTTATAAAACAGCACAGATGAACATACTTAGGGAATAGCTTCATGATAGTATTTTCCACCTGTACAGTAAAAATATTTTATGTGGTTGCTGGAGTTGTGGTTATAGTGACAGAGAATGTTTGGGCTTGGGTGGGATACAGGACCTGGTTCTATGGGATAACAATGGGCAGTACAAGGATCCTATGTGGACAGATCTTGCCTGGGATGCCATGGAGGTGGGCTTTAGCGTCCTGGCTCTATTCACTTGACCATGGAGGTCCTAGAGGTGGCCAGGGAGGAGTGTGGGTGTTTGGACTACTGGGGCTACCATGGGCCCACAGGTAAGAGCAAAGCCACAGACCCTTTTCCAGGGTCCAGGCATGGCTGTGATGCCCTTGGTAGCTTGGGGATGCCACACCTTTGGTGACTGCCTGACCCTTGATATGGTATGTTTGCTGTCCCTTGTGCAAGTCTTTGGTTCTTCATCTGTTGAGGCCAAGTCCTGGTATATGTGGAGATGCTGGGAACTTTAGGAGAGCAGGCTTTGTCTCTGTCACCACTCTGTTCCCAACTGCACCTGGTCAGCTGGTATTCAACTCGTAGTTTCAAATGACTGGACATAATGAAGGATAGTAACGGGTAAGAATTTAGTCTCACTTTTTTATTTTTACCATCTTATCTTTGTGGCCAAAGCTTTTTGGGTGGGTGTGTCAGTTGTAATGTTATTAGCACCTTTAGTGTTAAGACCACAAAGTAAGAAAGTACAAAAGGAGAAGGGAGAGGCAGCAGAACTGGAATGGTGGTGCATCTCCTTGGTCATGGTCTGTAGACTGCCATGCTTGGGCCCCTCAATGTCAACCAGCATCTGCTATGCTCACTGTAGGCCAGGTGCTTATGCTAGTGATTGTAGCAGCCTTGTCTTACAGTGGAGCAGATGGAGGTTGGGGTGCCCTGGGGAACTTGCTGGCGAGTGGGGGAGCAAGCATTTTACTCTAGCTGTCCTGTACCGTCTGCTCCCAAGAGTGGAGTGCTAATGAACCTTCAGGGCCAGCACAGAGCCGTGTGCAGGACCTGACTTACCTGTATCTCATGCAGGTTCTGTGCATTCAGGTGTTTTTGAGGCTGTGTTTTGAAGCATGCTGTTGATAGGCTGAATGTGACATTTTTCTTAGAGTAAAAGCACATTCCACAAACTATAACATGGCGGAATAATCATGTCCATAGATGATTGAATATCTGTGGAAATAGTTGGCTGTTTTCCTGAGGCTCCTTACGTGTTTCATAGATAGTAAATGTGTCTATCTATACCCAGCCTCTCTTTGACAGTGACAGGAGTTGTGGGCCCAAGCTTAGCCATGCAGTTGGGTGTATCTTCAGATGGGAAAGTAGTGGTGTGGTTTTGGTAGTAGCCGCCTGAAATGCATTGCATAGAAAAAAAGTTGCATCTTTTTTTTGCTTCTAGGCAAACACCTGCCTTACTGTCTTTAGATTATAACAATCTAACACTAATTTATTACCCTGTTAAAAAAAATCTATTTCTAAAATGTGTTTATTAGGGTGGCACCCCTAACTCAGTGAGTAGGGTGCTGGCCACATACACTGAGACTGGCAGGTTCGAACAGTCTTGTTCGAACAGGCTGGGCTGTTGTTCGAACAAGCCTAAACAACAATAACAACTGCAACCAAAAAATAGCCAGGCATTGTGGCAGGTGCTCTATATAGTTCCAGCTACTTGGGAAGCTGAGGCAAGAGAATTGCTTACGAGAGTTTGAGGCTGCTGTGAGCTGCCACGGCACTCTACTCAGAGCTGTAGCTTGAGACTCTATCTCAAAAGAAGAAAAAAGTGTGTTTATTAAAGAACATTTGAAAATCACAGAGATCTCAGAGAAGAAAATAAAAATCACCTATAACCTACCACCCAGAGATCATCACACTTGATGTATTAGGTTTCACCTTATGGAGATTTCCTTGGTTACATAGTTGGTATTATACTGCATGGATTGTTTTATATATA